GGAATTATTTTAGTTTCATTCTTAAGTTATCTCACTAACCACTGGATAGCTGTCTCGTCCTAGTATGGGACTCCCACGATCCCGCCACTAAGAATCAAACCCAGGACCTTCGGTCTTGCACGTGGACGCTTAACTTCTCAATCACTGAGACAGTGACCAAAGATTTATATTGGTAGTAGATAACATTATATGAGTCTAAAGCAATGAATCCTTTTTTCAACGAAATCATTTTTCGATATATAAAAACAATCTATTCTCAATATAATAGAAATTTTCATAATTAAATGACGGTGAAGTTTTGTATTTCAGGAGTTTGAATTCTCTGAGTTGAGTGGTTCAACTTTTAAGCTTCTATTAGCGTTTTAGACAGTATAATCATTAGCACAAAGCTTAGATAGAAGTGAGCTATTAGAATTCTTTCACATCTGACCAACAGTTTGTTGTGTCACTAGTAATTTTGGTAAGATACCGATAAAACATGGTGGCAGCTTACAGAGGCCACGTGCAACTAAAATAGAAGAGTGAGTTATTATGGATTTCTTTTGTTTGTGTAAATACTGAAGACAATTTTTTACCACTAAATTTCATCAACAGGAAAATTGTCTGACTTGACTCAAATTTATTTCTCGTTGTTGGTATTGCTATGGTAAAAATTACTACTATGACCTTTCATATCCAAATACTATTGTAACACCCTACATTGTAGAAACTTCGTGTAATTCACATCTTTTTCCAATTTGTTACTATGGTACGCATGCTGATATATATCTTCCAAGTGTTGTTTAGTTTTTCAATATATTTAGTGTCGATAGTTCTATTTTCGTAGTAAAGGTAACAGTAACACCTCAATAAATTCGACTCAATGTATAGTGTACAAATCATAATAGAAACAATTAAATTGCCATTTTGTTTTGTTTCATCGACCTTCACATGTGAACATTTAAGTATTGTGCTCATTGTAAGAACTGAATAACTTGAACTAGGCCCTATGTTGAATCATAGTGAAAACATTAGGAAAATATGGAAAGATGGAATGAAACGGTTGTTTAGTTATCTTTTTTGAGTTTTCACTAAATCCCACGATTATAACTGAAAAATAACTGATACGGTTCAATGAAAAGAAGTAAACAAACACCGATGATAGACGAAAATTTATTTAATGATTCAAGCATCATAATACATTCATTATTACACATACTTTAGATACTGTATGTAAATGTAGTTTAAGGAACTACTTTTGAGTAATCATAATTGTAATTAAGAAATAATCAACGACTCATATTTTGATTGGTTACCTATTGAAACATTTGGGATACCTATCACTGCAAGTCAACAAACATACCAGTTAACATTGACGTTTAATTTTTTTAACTGGATAACTATGAATGTTAACCTTATACACTCAACCAATCTCTAATGGCTTAGTTTCGTTAATCAACCACCTCGATAACAGTTATAATATAAATCTCAACGGTGTTTGAAATCAGAAGCGGCAACTACAGTTTATGAGCGGGTAGCATGGATAACAAAGCTATGAGCAAATCGAGCGAATTTCAAGCAGAGAGGCGAATGTGTATGTGCGAGAGAATACAAAGGCAAATTTATAGTCAAATAGCATAAGGGTACACCAAGGCAAAGCAAAGGCTAATAATAGGATTCAAGTACATATATACATGGAAAGAGAATGATTCACCGGATGATATTTAAGTTATCAACATTTAAGCTGGAGAAAGATGGGCGCAGGCTGTCATGTGACTTGGCGTACATGTTTATACAGACAGGATAATAATAAATATAGTACAAAGACATAGATGAATTGTTATTGTTCTAATAACATTGTCTGCTAAGTTAATAAAAGAGCTTAACGTAAATTAACCGTAATTGAGATTGATTTTGGGAGAGCTGCTATTAATCTAATAAAAAGTACACAATTTACTGCTATGCTAAGTAATAGGAACCCCAAACAGAAACACCAAAGTTGTTGGCGTATGCATCTCATTGTCTAACCTTAGAAGAAACAGGAGACAACTACATCATATTCATCATTTAATGGATGAAGAAAATAGTTTTAGCAGCTAAATTAGTGAGGAACTTTCGTGATTGTTGGATGGGTGGCAGATAACAACATTTAGGGAACCGATAAGAATAAAGATAGCGCCCACCTTACTTTGGCCGAAATTTAGAACTCACAGGACGGTAGCATACGTCTTAATTAGAGCTAGGTGAAAATTGACTATGTCCAGTTTTAAGATACCTATTACACATTGGACGTACTAGATGTGAGGTTTAGGCTGCTAAAATATATTTACCTATGTTGTGGCTCTAGAATTATAGGTGATATCATTTCGTGAAAATCCTGACTAGTGAGATAGTGCATCTTGAATTTTTTCGCCAAATTAACTCAACCACATTGAGATAAAACATTCTTGAATTACAGATGATGTGAATTCGTGGTGAAAACCATAATCTTAGCACCTAACCTTAACTCCTGACTCTATTGGGATACACCGTTCTCACCTCTACTCATTCATTGTTTATGCTGAAACTCTTTATTCATCTTAATTTAATTAATTTCGATTATAAACTGCTTTATAACTTAAATCTTTTCTGATTGACTGAACAGTCATTCAGGGTTGTCGTTAAAATCCAGTTCTACTACAATTTTGAAGTAACTACAATCAGAATATAAATTAAAATGATATTTACTGAAATATTACATAATTGGTGGTGGGCATTTTTTTTTCTCTGTAATAAAATGTTTAGTATTGGATAAGGAAATTATCATTATGATTACTATTCATAAATTTTCAACCAATAAAGAACAATCTATAACGCGTCTACTTTATTTTTATATAAGTACTATGGTTACAACGATATATGATTTAACTAATAAATTTATGAGATATTAATCTTTCTCTTTTTTTTCTTAATTCCGTATATAGATATTGTTTTGATAAATGATATCTCAAAGTTTGTATTTTTTTTTGGTGTAAATATGTCCTATTGTTGTGCTAGTATGTATTGATTACTTTTCATTCATTCATTCATAGGTGATATGATTTTAATATTTTTTCTTTCTTACCGGTTTATAAATGTATTTAGACTAATTGTATAAATATGTTTGTATATTACAAGTATGTTCACTCAAGTTCTTAATAGCACTTATAATAAATAAATGACGTTTATTATTAGTCAATAGTATATCATGATAGGAATGAAACAATATTGAATTAAGTAAGTAATGTAATATATATATATATATATATATATATATATATATACCAAAGTACATAAGATGGTAAACAAAAACAAAAATCATTGAACATTGTACAACAGAATATTGTTCATTCAATATGCTTCATTTTTCAAAAAACATTGAAAAAAATATATTTTAAAAAAAATCGATAATTACACAACTATTGGTAGAGAAAATATGAATTTATTATTTTTATTTCATGGATCCGCTTTAACTATTTATAACTTGGAGTAAATTATATTCACTATTCTATATATATATATATATATATATATATATATATATATATATATATATATATATATATATATATATATATATATATATATATATATACTTCATGGCATCAGGTGAACTAGAGAAAAGTGTTGATTAGGTCAGGATAACCAGATTAATCAAAGTAGACAAATAAAAGTGAACGAATTTATGATCATCATCTATAATGGTTGATTATTTATAAAATAAATGAATATTTCAAAAAGAACAATCAAATTTAAAGAATAGAAAGATAAGTAAATTTTATAGAAGCAACAAAAAAATTGACATCACTTATTGTTATAACTTGAATGGGCAATTGTTATTATCTTGTACCCACCTATCAGAATACAGTGAATTTATCGATCGGACCAAATGGCACACGGAAACCGTACGAACAATCTAGAGTACTTGTCGGTCCTGTTTTCTGCCTAGCCTAGCCAGTTAAATCCAGAACATTGATAAAAGCCTCTGCAATATGAATCATTACTCTCAAACATACTGGTTTTATATACTAAACAAACAGACCACATCGTACCATAAAATAAGAAACAACATTTGTACAAGATTCAGCCAAATGTGACTGTGAATAAGGGGAACAGTAATTAATGGACTAGAGATAACTCAAGAATGGTAAATCGTATAATAATAGTCTATGGGTCAGAATAAAGCTTATAATAAGAGAGACACGAATATGAATAGTTTAGTTACTTAACAATTATACAATAGGATATATGCGTATCATATTGGTCCACAAATAGTTCTCAAAAGTTACCATTCATAATTCTCTTCGGAATATAGCACTTATTAAGCAATCCCAACAAAAAATGAAAAACTAGTATAATAAATTGATTAGAATTCATAAAACAATTTTTAACAAAGATTTAATTACGAGGATAAAAATGAACAAGGTGAGTTATCGTTTTCAGATTGTTTAATAAGAAATCTAAATGGACCTCTGAACCCGATTATCTATCAAAAACCTGCACATTCCAATCATTACATCGATTTTAATTCAGCACATCGATTGAGTACAAAAATCTCTATGAACCTAAATCTCTTTGAACAAATAAACAATACATCTTAAGATGGCAAACAGAAGGAGCAGAGGCATAAAATTAACATTTTCAAATTTAATAATTTTCGTATGAAGATCATTAGAAATCCAATAAAACGAGGCGATTTACTGTTAATTAATAAGTTGAATGAAATATCATGGATTGGGACTGTAGTTTTTCCATACCGTCACAGTACAACAGAACCCCAAAAAGTCTTAAAACAATACAAAATTAAAATATACTACAAAACAACTAACACCGTCCGAAATGCTTTAGTTTCTATAAAGAATAAGATTCTCAACACAGAATTTAGTCTAAAGATTAGAATGTGTCGGTTGTGATGCCTTCTATATTGAAGAGTCATCTCGTGAAACCTTGACTCAAGTCAAAGAAAATCTTCGGTACACAAAAAACCACCAATTAATATAATAATATGTTCTGACAATAATAATTACAGAATTCATGCCGTTTAACAGACATGATCAGCTTGACATAGATAAGAATATTGAATGTAGAGGACATATGTAATATTAGATTGTACAAAGTGTTCTAGTCCTGAAATTGTTTAGGCAGTACATTTTTCAAATGTATTACAGCAATCTAAGGCGTCAATCATTATTCGAAAAAACTCGTCCTACGATGTGGTCAGGATTCATAGTTTTTCGTTGAATAATTTCAAATATTTACCATCAAATATGGCATGGTGCGGCAAATGTATTTCGGTAAGATGACGTCAACAACTAAGTTGAATCTGAGACGAAGGGTGGGTTCCACAGTTGGGGATTTCTAAACAAAGATGAAACACATTTCCGGTGCATCTTGGTTTCAAATGAATTTCTAACTAGGACCAATTTGTGTTGTAAAGTATATATTCGAAAATAAGTTATACAACATCTAGTTGCTGAGGTTTGGCTTATTTCATATGACACATCTGCTACCTGGATGAACTATTTCAGTAATATTGATAGTGTTACGTTGAACATATGAATATTGAATTAAGTTCTTGTTATTTAAACAATGAGTTGAATAGTAATAATAACAATAACATGCCTTATATTATTCTGAAATATACACCAAACAGAATTATGCATAAAACTATGTTGGACCTGATATAATGAAAAGGAATGTCTCACCATATTTCACATGAATCTTATAAAATTTCAATATTTCTCGCGTGTCTATTCCATGAACAATTGAATAGTGAACAATATCAAAATATAAGTTAACTGTCAGTTTGAAAGTTTGTCAAAAGTTTATTTACAGAAAACGACTCATCAATACAGAATATAGGAAACATAGTATATATTGAATTTGTACCATAAGGGTAACTAGTTTCTAAATTTGTTACACTAGTTCCAATAAGTGATTATTTAAAAAACAGAAACAAACTATGAAGAATAGACTATTGAGTACCAGCCCGTATATACTTAAATGTTTTCAGACCAAATTGATAAACGATACCCGCTGATGAAGAAAAAAACATTTCTTGAACATGTTATAGAAAAGGTGAAATAAGCGATAACTTGTGTCTGATAAAAATACTAATCGTTTGGTAGAAATCTAGAAGTATATTACAAACGTATTATTCAAACAAATTACAGTTTTTTTAATAATAACTGTACTAGAAACTAAAAAAAGTACTCACTCGACAAATTCAGGATTGAGTGCTCACGACCTGACACTTCATTACTTTTCATAACTTTAATGGTAAATGACTGAATATCAGTCTGCAGTGAAAACTAAATTCAAAAGGAACAATCTCCGCAAACAGTAATGTATTAGTAATAGTAATAATTGTGTAATCACTAGTAACTAACTCTGAGATGGATTTCTGAATTTCTCTTGACAGGTAATAGCTGTTGGAGCCTAAGATGACAGTTAGATAGATGTTACTGATAACACTGAATGTTTGTTGTCTGATGTTGAAAACTGACTGAAGTTGGCAAGGTGGAGCATAATGGCTTCCAATCAGTGTTCTAAAGGCATCACGATTGGTATGAGACCCAAAGACCTTGGATTCAATCTCTCGTCCCTAATAGTTATCGACTAAAGTCATTTTTTTAATTAAACAATTTCCGCAGTATATTTTTCACTTTAATCGTTCAAAGAAACCACAAAAATATAGTTCAAAGTTTAATACATTTACAAATTGAATAAATTGATCTTCTTAGGTGTATAGGAACTGAACAAAACTAAGTATATGTACCAGAGTTCGAGACCGACAAAAGTGCTCTAGTGAATAAACCGTCGTTTTAACACCTAAATATAAACTACAAAAAAAAGTTTGGACATGGAACTTAACGGTAAATTACGTAATGATGTTAATGTAATACAACAACTACTGAAAAATAGTCACTGTTTATCATAATCTATTAAACAGGCTGGAAAATCTGGGGTTCTCCAAGATCGATAAACGAGCACCATCCTGTTGGGTACTTTTAATCTCGAAAAATCGTAAACAAACGATTTAATTTGAAAAGACTTAATTAGATTTTATACAACTCAGTGATCAAATAAAAGTTTACGTAACATTAATTTGTAATACTGTTTGATTGTTCAAACCGAAATACGAGATTGAAGTGATACAACGGTTGGATGTTAACACTACTAGGCTATCCATTCTCGAGAGACATGATAATGACTAGAATCCCAAAAAAGCATCGAAACTAAAATGAAACACCTGTTAGATATTCTCCCGAATTCATAGATTCTTTGACTAATTTCAATTGGAAATCCACTAATTCATGTCACATATTTACTTTAAACAACCATTCACAGCATATTTAATTTTTTTTAAAAAGGTAGTAAACAAAATACAGAAATTATTCAATAAATGATATTTTTCGAGTAACAAAGAATCAACTCTCAGATATTAACAAGAAAATAAGGAAACAGAAGAGATTAGGAAACTCTTGTAACAATAAAGTAATTTTCAGTATTTAGAAGTATGATTTAAGAGGCACTAATTTGAAAGCTTGAAAAAAGGCACATTTTAAGTCTTATACCCAAACTATTTCTTTATTATCTAACCATTTTTCGCATTTCACCAGAGATTTCCCTGATGTAAGAAATATAAATACATTATGCAATCTTAGCAGTGCAATAGCCCCTAGAAAAAGAGATATGTAACTATTTAATTTTAATGAATAGAAATATTACAAAAGAGGGAGAAGGGAAATGAGCAGTGTATCGCACACTTAGTCATCCTCTTTTTCTTTATATGTTCAGTAAATTTTAAGAAATTGGAAAACAGGTAATTACAAGATAACTGAAAGACTTTCAAATGGTAGTTATTTGATCTACCCCATTAGTTGTAATTAATTCATTAGGCTGGCTTTTTTTCACTGATTTTAGAACGTTATGTGTACATACGTGCACTTTATTGATTTCAACAGTTTAATTGGGACGTTGTTTAATTTTTGGTAGAATAAGTATTTGTACAAGAAATCGAAATAAAACACTAACATTCAAATCCATACTTCCACCAGTCTCCATACGACAAGCATAATAATTCTCTTCTGGAATTGGGATCACGGTTATATCATTTACAGGTGTATCAGTGATTTGTTTATAATTGGAATTAAAAGATTCTATTGATGAAGGCATTGACATTGTACAACTGTTTTTATTATATTCTACTTTGTCGGTGACCTGAACAATATGTATAGAGAAGGGTAGAAAGTAAGGAAAAAAGACAGTAGGAGTTAGGTCATTAAAACAAGAAAAAATTACCACAATACAATACTAACCGATAATAATAACAATAACAATAATGATTATACTACACATGAATCGTAAACAACCGCAGCCTGAAAGTGACAACTAAACACACAGAGAAATGATGGGTGTTATTGAGAATAAAATATAAGAAAGAAATCAGACTTGTAAAATGGATCAAATAGAGTTGAGTAGATATGTTAAAAAGCAGTCGATGTTGGTCTATCTGAAGAAATCAGTCAGTCGACTAACTCCTCTAGTTGTTCCTGAAATATATTGTTAACTTCTCTATCACCAAGTTGAACTCTAAGGGTTTTTTGCTGTAGGTTTTCTGTCCCGTAAGACGCAGACAAATGCGTGCTCGAACTAGAGCATGATCCCAATCTAAACGCGTGCTCCAGAACGAGCTAATGTCAATGTGATTTATTTGAGTTCATCGATGAATCAGTTGTGGAGATATCCGCGTCAGATTATGTTTCTCCTTATGTTTAAAGTTGGTGTTTGCCAAAAATAGACGGTTTTGTAAACACAGTTGCAACAGACCACCGCCATTATCTGTTCGGTTTGGTTTACTTTACTTATTTGAGCATTAAAATAACCTGCCACTACTACATCAGAGCGTTTAGCTTTTAGAAGTAGGTTGAACAGATTCCTACAAAATTCACTTTTAACTTTATTTGAGCTGTAATCAATGGGAGCATAGGCAAAGACAATGAAAAAGCAACAGGGTGTTCTCCTATCTTTTCGAGTTCTTAACGTTTCGTTCAGTCAAACAGTGCATAAGAGACTGCCTAATGGAATCCAGTTCAACAAAGCCTGTTCTGATTTTGAACTCAATACCATCCCTATACCAATGAGGCTGTGAGAAGTAGCGGGGTCTCCAGACACTCGAGGAGTAAATAATGCCGACTCTTTATATCGATAGGTGATGTCAAATGAATGACCGTACTTGGATCCTGTATGCGCGCTTTAGAGAAGTAACATACATCAATGTTGTAAAATTCTTCAGTCCTAGATTTTTAAAAACTCTGTTTTCCTATCTGACACAAGGTTCGGACACTAAAAGCTGCAACATGTAGTTTAGAGAGTAGTTTCAATAGACCAGGAATAGCACTTCTTGTACTCAAATCCCTAGCATCAGTAGCGCGTTGCGTTAAAAATATATAAGAAGGGCTAGCTGTGAGATGGAAGAATTATTAAGTGAGGGAGGGATTTATTCGTCAACAAGATGATTTCGGGTACTGATAAAGGTATGACGGCGGTTATCACTTTCCGGCTGCCCACATGATGGAAGGCTATTACTTCTTAATGAACCTGAGAAAGAAGCTGAACCAGTGCTGGTCTTAACGACCTAGGCGTGCAACTGCAGAGCCCGAGGAACAACTGCTTAAGACCGGCAGTGCACCGCCTTTTTATGAGATTTTGATGTGTTAGCACCGCATTTCAAAAGGCCTTACCCAAGGAGACGGAGATCTGTGCGGTAAGGTGAGGTGTGACATTTTAAGGGTCGACATTTACTAACCCTTCGTTCCGTTGTGAGAAGACAACATCGCTGCGGATTCTGGTTGTCCGAGGGAAACAACTTACTGTTGTCACACACCTCTACAGTCACCAGTACGATTTCGCCTTTCGGCCTTAATTAGCTGCTTTTAGTCTTACCGTTCTGCAATCAACCTGCTTGGCATGGTAGGACCTAGAGAAACATGTATTCTAGCCAATAAAGGTCGGTTGAGTTATTACAATAGGCAACCCCGACCATAACTTCAAGGTAGCAGCTAGGGTCAAGGAGAAATGAATAGCACTGATAACGGCAGTAATAGAAACTATTTCCAAAATCATGCAATTTGGTGTCCTCAGTAAAAAGAAGCAAGGCAAATTGAGTATTCTGAATGTTTAGATTTTGTCAGAGTAAAATCTTGGACCAAAATTTCGACTATCTCTAACCACCTAAAATCAAAGCATAGTGCACACTGTGTTCAGCCACTTAGACTACTGATTATGTGATTTGATAGAAGGAGTTACTAGAGCATTAAGGACTAAACAAAGATGACACTAGTAATTGAACAGTGATCAACCAACGTATATTGAACTAACCTGGAGATTGCTAAATTCCACTGGAATCATGAACCAGTGCTAGGTTAGCATGGAAAACCTGGAACCACTGGATGACCATTTCGTCCTAGGATGGGGCTCCTTAACAATGTGCGTCAACGAACCAGCATGTGGGGATCAAACCCAGGACATTTGGTTTTCCGTGTGAACGCTTAACCTCAAGACTACTGAGCCGACACTCAATGGCATTAACGTATAACTTCAATCAATTCACGATGTGGTGAGACCATCTTCTATTGTCTTTTATAGGTACCTTCCTCAAATCCAACACTGTTTAGCTCTACTGGTCACTGGTTACCACTAGAACTCCGATAACAGAACGAAACAGCTGTCCAGTGCTTCCAGGCTTTCTATGCTTGTCGAATTTAGATCGCTTCATGATTAGTTCCATATACAATATCATTGAACAACGGTTATCGACCTTGTATGGTCTTTATACAGTCAAGTTAACTTATACTAATAGTCAGGCTTAATATAACTACAGAGAGTGTTAAACTGTGAACCAATTAAAAAATATAGGGTATTTTATGTATGACTGAAATGACATAATTATTTAGAAATTCAAAATGATACACATCATCGATTGAAATGATCAGATGTAAAAGTATGGGAAAGTAAATAGCTAAAACAAAATAAACTGCTGGCTATTAAAGCTTTATAAAAAAAGATGCAGATTTATGGGAAACCAGGAAGTAAGGACTAGAAAAACATTTACCGTTATCTAATGTTATATATGTCCTTAAAGTGATGGTGGTAGTAAATTAACTATCTTTGTAGTTAGTTGATACGTCAATAAAACAGTAAATAAAAGTAATTCAAATGATACATCTAAACTATGATTCTTCATGATTACAGTCAGTCAGTCGGTCACAACGTAGAACTTCATGCGTACGTACATCAGTTCGAGATACCATACCACATTAGCACAGAGATGAAATTGTCGATTCAAATCCCATATTGGTAGAAGTAGTAAGAGTATAAGCATTATGTGAAAGATAAGGGTTTGAAGATGTTATTGAAGGAGTATAATACAGTGAAATAAATTTGGAAAGAGAGAAAGGATAGGGACATGAGGAATTCAGAAGATTAGAATTTGGTAGAACACAAAGATTGGATGCACCTTCGCCAATGCAAACGATTTTGAGCTATGTCATTCAAGGTCTCTAACCATCGGTTGCTATCATCTCGCGAATCTCAACCAGGTAGTCTACACCTACCAACATGACTCAGTCCACTTGTCAGCGATTTCATGGATTTGTGCCACGTTCTGGTCTGGCCACACCTAGCTTTCTTCCAACTTATTCCTACACCATGAAAAATTGCACGTCGGGGCAGTCGGTGGTTGGGCATACGTCATACGTATCCCAGCTATCTCAACCGATGAAGTTTCACTACTTCATCAATCGATTTGCCACCCTTACCTAGTACCCGTTTCCTAACAATTGCATTACTTACTCGGTGGACCCAGGATATACGAGCAATGCTTCGAAGACACCTATGATCGAATACTAGTAGCCTACTAATATCCTCTACTCTTATCGGCCATGTTTCACTGCCATAAAGTAGGACGGAACGGACTGCTGCACAGTAAACCCGTCTTCATGATTACGGTGAAATGTGGTTTTGTAAAAGTAACTTTGCCACTAATTTTCGACAAATGTGGGCCCAATGTAAGGAAAAAGAATCAATCTGACTATGAAAAGTGAAAGTTTTCATAATTACTATAAGTATTTAAGAGACTATGCATTTTTCTATCATAATTTATTGGCAAAATTAACTGATGTCTATCGTGAAAACTTTAACAAATTGGGTTGGTAATGCTTTCCCATAGTTTCTGATTTGCCTGGCTTTAAAACGCTGCTTCTTAGAGTCTGAGAGAAATAAGTAGCTACTGAACTCAAAAACGTGGGAACCGAATTTAAGCTATAGTTTGGATCTACCATCAGGTAATCGATTCACATAAGAACAGAAATTCACACAAATAGGCCGCTGTTCTGAACTTCCTTAAATAAACTTACACTTAAGTGATACCATAATCGTTTTGATTTTGTCCAACTGTAAGTATTATCTAATACAAGGATGTATACACCCGAGTTTTCAACACTAAAAGTTCCTTGAACAATTTTTTCATGTGATGATATACGTTTCATTGCGATCATTTCGATATAGGTATCTGGACTTGTACTTGAATCACTTGTAACTTTTCCATTATTGGTAATACAATTTTTCATAAATAGACCAACTGCAATGTCATGTGTTTCACATGAAAGCCACCATTTAATTTCATCACCTACACCAACCATTCCAATAGAAATATCTTTACGTGAAGCCGGACCAACTTCAACCATAGTCAAATCCCGACCGCAATCTGTAAAACGTTTCACTTCTTCAGATACTTCAGACTGTTTGGACACAGACGGCTTATCATCTGATAGCTTTTTACGAAACAGTGAAGCAGGGACGGGGCCAGCCCATGAAATTCTTGATGGACATTGAGGATCGCCATTAGGATCAGTTATTTTCCCACCATAACAGGCTGGTAATTTACTTGGGTCAATTACCTGGAGTAAAGTAGCCCGGTAGTCCGATTTTAATACCTAAAAACGAAAAGTTAGCGTGAAATTAATAGTTGTTTCATGTGTGAAATGATGAGCTCAGAAAATATTGTAAGATAATGACGCCATCGATTATTCGATGAGTTTATTTTAGAAAATGTGACAAACTGTCTATTTTAGACATCAAAACTGTTAGACGAAAAGCCGTCAAAATAAACTGTAATTAACAAAAAAGTGGGAGACCAGTGACATGTTTTCTGAAACATGCACATTTTGGTGGTTCAAAGTAAAAATCTAAAGTTTGTCCCTTTAACTGTACCACACCTCACAATCCCCTGGTACGGTTGAAAGGAGGAAGAGTCTACCATCCTTTTCGAAACGCTTTCATATGATAATGCATATACAGCCATTGGCAGGGAAGTCCTACTCACTGCCATCTGATAGTCGTGGTGTCGCTCACGGATTCGAGAGGACGAAAAGTAAATGTCTGGAGCATAAACCAAATGGGTGGGTACCGAGGATACAGATAGGAGAGCTAGGAAACCCCTATTCTAAACGAATGGTACGCATGGGCTCTAGGATCCTAAGGGAATTAATGGCGTGTGAAGCTATTTTCGGTCACCGGCTACCATGGGACCGCATCTCCTAACGTTGTTCCATTACCTTGTGGGTTAAGTCTCTCGGTCAGAGGCTTGTGGAGTGACCCCCTAAGAAAACCATCTGCTTCGGTTTGGACAAACGGAAAGTATCCCAGTCCTAACACAAATTTTGCGTGTGCGTATATATTTTAGTACCCATTTTTACTAATTTTCATGTGGTTAAATACATGAATAATTAACTGTGCCACAGATAAAGTCAAAATAGACAAAAAGTACACATACTCGGTTAAGAAAATGAGTGACGAGTGACAAAATATTCAGGATTTATATTTTGGACTTATATTGACCGATATTATTTTAAAATGTTAAACATACCTTAACCCCGAAACTTCGCAGTGGCGTGTAAAGCTGGAATTGAATTTTTAGTCCCTAAAATTTCAAGGAATAGAGCAGACGAACCGACAACCTAATCGAAACACACGAAGAACATAACACTTACATCTTGAAACGGAAAAAATGGGTTGAGACTTGAGACAACACGACTGAAAACCAACCTTATCAGAATAGATACATTCATTGATTGCCACAATAAAAGCACTGAACATCCCATTATTCTAGTAAGCCGTTATTCATGGTATATATGTGCTATTTGCACTTTATCAATTATATTTATACTACTGATTTACATTTACAAGAAAACTAACTGAAAATTCTACAGAAAATCACTACTAATATGTCATCACGGAAATTCAGATCATGTGATGCTATAATTTATGGTTGTATACACTGTTATTCTATGTTGGGCTTCTGATAGTACTGATATCTTTAAAACTTTATCTTCAAAAGCTGAACGTTTTGAATTTATTCCAATCACAATCTCCAGTGCGATCTTAAACAGCTTTTTAATTTAGATCTAATTTAATTAAGAAACATCAGCTGAAACGAGCTTACTGTATAAATAAGTGATGAGAATGACTTTGGGTCTTAGAATAAATGTAGCACTTACATGAATTTTCTCTTGTGTAAGTTTACTCAACAGAGGTTTAATGAAGTTGAATATAGTTCCAAATATTGGTGGAGCATTAATCACATAACAAATACGTAAAACCTCGGGATAATTTGCTTCCATTATTGTCATCATTTCCGAAAATACAGGGATCCAAGATGGATGCATATGTTTCAAACTTAAATGTTTCATGTCTAATATAAGTGTCAGCTGGTCAATACATCGATTATGTTCTTTTGATTTTTCATATAAAACTCTTTGTATGATATATTCCATAAAATAGATTCTACTTTGAATGAACTCTGCTTGTGTAGTGGCTTTCATGAAGCCACCTGGGTCGAATCGACCAACAGGAGCACAGTACAATGGACAGCCTTCTTTATCTTCGCCACAAAATCCTCCGGGAAAGTATTTTTGTATAACATCTGGGATTTCATAGCAATCAAGTAATGCATCGACCTATAAATAACGGCAAACTATAGAAAAGAACTGAATCTAACTATATATTATTAAATAAGTTTATTAAAAACAATTACCTCTGAGTATATTCTACTTCGTCTTCAGTGAACTTAAAGTAAGAGATCGATGTTTGTACAGTAATGGAACGATTCCTGATTTTGAATCACCTAAAGTCACATTAAAGACTACATCTACATGTTTTATATATATTAGTCACAACCTTTTGCCAGATGTTACAGATGAACAAGAAGGATACATTATTTGTATAATGTGCTGTCTTCCCATATTTTTGTTCTCATCGACAGTATGAAGTAATTGGTGGCGGTAGATAGCTCACAATAAATCCTCTCCGAATACTTAGTCGCACTGATTTCCAGCTGTTATTTATAGTACTTACAAAAAACAGTGGTGCAGTGCGAGATTTTCTAGTGGGCGTTTTGTATTTAAGTATGATATTGTCTGCCAAAATATATTTACTTTTTCTGAGGTAATATCTCACATTTTTCGATTATCTAAACAACTGAAATGCATGATTGGATACAAGTGACTTGAAAAATTAACTATAACCAAGTGTCAATGTTAATTAGTAGTCAAGTACAGGTTCTTGTACTCGCTGTGTGAAAGTGATACTACTCAGTTGCTCAGACTTAGATAAATGAGGCGAAATTTGAACACCCAACTCAGCCGTCGGTTATACTCTTAAATCACTAAATTACAGCTGTTTTTTATGATAATCACAGCGGAACTTCGAATGAAGCACAATTAGGAATAAAATAAAGGAAAGGAGGATCAACTTCTGTTGACCGGCAGATGACATCCATAATTTGATATGTGCTTAGACTGAAATTTCGGGCTAATAAATTTGCGGCTTAAATATTAATAGTTAGATTTCGAATCCGATGGCACAAAGATGCATAATAAACCATGAGAAGTGATCGACCAAACAACATATCATAAAGCATAAAGCGGAACAAAAAAGAAACTGGCAGTCAACAGCTACAGACAAAAGAGCAAAAACTATTCGGAATACTACAAAGTAATGAAAGAGTTTGACTTTAAGGTAATAAAAGCATGGTAGTTTAGAGTGTGACAAAACTGGACGAATCCATACCATCGTAATTGACTTTGATTATTTCAGTCTTGCATCTCCCAGCTTGCAAATCGAAATAAAAAAGCTTACATAGATAAACGATTTACAATAGCTGTTTATAAATCCATGAGTCAAATGGATATGAAAACTGCCGAAACAGTTATTCTTACTGATGACCTTCCGTCATACCTACCTCAAAAACTTCTAGTTAGAGACTGAATGATGCGAGACCACAGACCTTAGTAATGAGGTTAACTAGATCTTCATTGAGTTTATGGACTTTCGCAGACACCGTAGCTAAAATCATGTTTCAGTGGTATGTAGTGACTTGCAACTAATCTTTATTTACTTTTGTCAAAAAACACAGGACATGGCAACCGAGTTTGATAATTGTCACACTTGTATGATTATCTCCAGAAGTTCAATTTAGTTAACTGGGTGTAGTAAATTAACCTGACGATCGCTTGCACAAGAAACTAGAAGTTACAACTTAAGAAATGTAAACATATCAACAAGGTCACTGGGGTAGCTGAAGTGATTCTCAATATAGCTTGCATAAATATAAGAAACTGAATGTGGTTATAGGCAACTGATCACTGAGACCAAGTAGTGGTCGTTAGCGAGAGAAAAGGGGAAATGTTAAAATATATAACATGTCAAAGAACGTTTATTCCAAAAGCTAGGGGACTATAACGGTTTTATTGAAAAAACATTAGCTTATTTTATCAGTGAGGCATACTATTCGCTACTTTGGGGTATTTGTGCATTGTGTTCATATATACTGAAAACATGAATTTATAGCGATAACGGGTGGAAGTGAATTATGCGAGCAAAACTGAACCAAATTTTGGTCGGAAAACCGTTGTGGAATTGTTTTTGACAGAAGTTACAATTAGTAATGTTTGAGCGTAAATAGCGAACACCTATGCGAGAGTTTCTTTAACAATAACGCAAATCAGCAAGGGCGAATAATGAGCCAATATCTGGTTAACTTCCCTAAACATTTCCCTTAAGTTCATCCTGACCATAGAGAAAATTACTAGTTCCTTGATGATCTCAAATAATACCTCAATATTTCCCTAAAGTCAAGGGTTTAGGTAACGTTACACATGTAGGTAGAAAAATTAGTGAAAATGCCACGAAAAGTAAGAACAGTCGGTAATGAATTTACGGTATGGATGTATGTTAAGCATGAGAATTACCTTCTGAACATCTCTCCATTTCAGATGAGAATACAACATTTTTTCTGCTTCATCAACATCCCAACTGCGAGCGCGCAGCCAACGAACAAGATAACGTTTTGATCGGCATATGTCAAGTGGACAACTGAGCATTCTTTCATAAAACTGATGAAGTACTGACAACTCGTCTCCTGTCAGACTTTCTTCCAAACCCAAGTCGTACTCCACTGACCACATGAGAACATAAAACTGACAGTTTGAATTTCCGCCTCGAAAGGAGGTTGTCCTTGAGAGGGCAATTTACTGCTTTGTCTAAATTAGCGAAATACTTTAAACCAATTTTCTGAATACAATTTAGGTAGATATGAAATTGTGATGAACGAGACATTCAGAACCAATGTCGTTATCATTTAATAATATCCCTCCTGGAAGCAATTTAGGGCATGCATCCAAATGTTTGTAAATGAAATGTAGATGTGTTCACTTGATTTCCCAAGCTAATAAGTATAAATCACTAATAATGTATGTGAATCAAACTTAGGTATAAGAATCTGTAGCAGTTTGTTGGGAGATATCCTTGTGAGCCCTCAACGAAAATATTAATTTGGTAAAACTTCCAAGGGTATCGGATACGAACAATCGATTACTGTAAAATAGTGTACACAATTTCTGAGGTTGATCCTACACCGATGGACTTTCAGATTGTTTCCACAAACTTTGATATGAAGGCACTCCTTTAGTTTTTAAAGTAATCTTCATGTGGGTTTTGAATAAATTTCATTACATCATTTATTGTCCCTAACTTCCATCCTACTAGAGTGTCCGTCAGTGAGGTTTTGTGGCGTTCTGTTGTCAGGTGTACTCCTAAATATAAGTTGTAATCGCTGGATAATTACTTTTACAGCTATACCTCCTTTAACCTTTAAGGCGGCCCTTTTAGATCTGTCCACAAAACGTTCAGCTTGGCCAATAGATTGTGGATCGTATGGTGTAGAGCGAATAAGAACAATAGAATTTCTATTGCAAAAGTCACTGAATTCGCGAGATCTAAATTGGGACCCATTATTGGTGACCACAGTCTCTGGAAGTCCATGGCGCGCAAATGTATTCATTAATACTTTCAACGTGTTCTGCGCCGTTGGAGGCACTACTGAATGGATTTGAGGCCATTTCGAATGTGCATCTACTAACGCTGAACAATATGCTCCTGCTATAGGACCCTCAAAATCTAAACGTATTCTGGACCATGAACGTTCTGGTTCTAGCCAGTTTATTGGTTCAACCTTTGTTAGGTTTTCGGACGCGCACTGACATTCTTCACACTTTTTGATTATGCCTTCTATCTGAGCACCCATTTTGGCCAGTATGCGTAACTGCGTGCAAATGATTTCATTCGGGCTATTCTTGAATGTCCTGTGTGGCAATGTTTGAATACCCTTTTCCGTGATTCTTTTGATTTCATTACATGTCCTCCAAACATAGGGCATTCTCTAACTGCGCACAGAGCTTGCCGTCGCTGAAATGTCTTTAAATTCTTCGACTAAAGGCGATCTCTATTTATTTTGAAGGTGATGAATCATCCATCAAAGCGTCGAGTCCCTCCCTGTGGCACTGGCTATTTGGCAGGCCGTTACGGAAAGGGATTTCACTGCATCCATGAAACTGCCATTTTCATGATCTGTAGTAGGAGTCACAACAAGAATAGAAACTTCATCAGTATCAGGGTAAATAATTATTAACCGACTGACCCGAATCTCCTACCCGATGATACTGAATATCTAAAGTATGTTCTAGAAGTGTTATTGCCCACCTCTATTTTCGGTTTGCTGAACTCACCGACATTACAAACTTCGAGCCCAAATCTTATAATGAGGATTTGTGGTCAGTCAACAAAGCAAAACGTTTGACATAAAGCGTTTTGTGAAAACAATGTACAGCGAAAACAATCGCCAACGCTTCGTTTTCGATTTGACTAGTATTTATCTGCTGATTTGAATGACCTAGATGCGTGTATTACTGTTCTTTCCATTCAATTTTGAAGTTCGCGTGAAATTACTGCTCCCACACCGTTTGCAGATGCATCTGCTGCAACTATCAATGGCACCATAGGATCATAATGGGAGCTGCTCAAGCTGAGAATGAAACTAGTGATAGAACACCTTGTTTTTTTTAGACGTTGGAGTTTAAGCCTAGTAGCATTTTGCTACTAAACTTCTCACCGTCCTTACGCATAACACTGGTGAATGAGCAACGGTTTTCCTAGGCACTATGTTCGATTATTTATGCCCTCTCTGAAGACTCTGGAGTTCATAGCGCTCTGCAATTTAGTTGAGAGTGCCATCAATGCGAAACCTTAATGACAGGCTATCGTAAACATGTTTTCACACTGCGTCAGAAGAATTAGCCTGTAAAATTATGATCAAATTCAGTATTGGTACATTTATCTTCGGTATCACAATGATAGAATTAACCCCAAAACTGTAGATTTGTCACAATGTGACCATCTAATAAAAAAAGCCTACGTGGAGTCACATCATGGTTTACACTGACTCATCCCATCGCAACAGTCAGACATATAATGTCTCATACGTCTGAAGAACACATTTAGGTTGGGTAGGTAGAAGTGTATTCAACTCGAAAAGCAATAGGTTATACAGAGTGACAACGCCTATATGGCTGAGCCATGCAATTTCAATTCTTTGTTGTCGCTTTCACCACTGTTGACCTCCTCTGTGTGTGACATGTTGGATAAGCCTTCTAGGTAATTAGACGCTCATCTTCATAGGTCGTGTGTTTAGGAACTAATATCACTACAAGTCTTCCTCTTTCCGGTCAGATGACGTGTCGATATTAATCTTCGTCATCAAATTAATGAAAATTATTTGTGAGATGGTTCAATTTTGTGATCGATCCATATTTATGTTGGTAAACAGAATCTATTTTTTCAAACCACAGTATTATCTGAATTTTAAGCACTTATGGGCATCAGGCTGTTGAGTTATTTTGACAACAATGAGCTACAGAACAATTTTCATTTCGTTTTCAATATGATTCATCTATTAAAGACTCGGCATCAAACAGTTAAACTGTGATGTTTAAATAAATCAATGACTTCTTCGTATTGATGATTGTTGTAATTTTGAATTCCAAATACAATACATTCGTTCGGGCTTATCTGAGACTTCTTGATTAAATTGCGTTATTCCTGGGATTACTAGTTTATACTACAATTCAAATACTTCTGATTACCATATAAACTCACCACAAATGAGTTCAATCGGTTAAGAAGGTTCCTCTGCATGTGGTGACAACAACGGCATAATGAGAAAGATAAAATCCAATATTATTATTTAATAATAATCTGGTTCAAGTCTCCAACGTAGTATGAGAGGCCCAAAAGGATGTCATTACACTGTAGTCGGCGTCGAGTCGCCATTGAATATGATCACCACTACATGAAGATTACGTGCAAGGTATCGACCATGATCCCTCGGTAAGCCGAAAAACAGAAGGTTGTTATTGGCTGCAATAAAATATATCTGTTGGCGATCTCGAACTATCGACAGAATACCGAGACGTGCAGAAACGATTTGTCCAACCTATCACCCTTCCTTGGCTCTAATTCCCCCATTGGGTACGGTTTTAGTTGTCGTTTTTTCTGCACTTTTGTCTGATTATTATCGGTTTTTTGTTTTTTAAATCACTATTTTACATTTTAAACTCTAATCAGTTATTATAATTACCTTATACAAGTTTTGTTGATTATTACTCAGATTCTAATAATGACCTTTGTGTTTGTCACTTTTCTCCATATTTGTCAACTGGATTATTATCTGAGGGATAAATTATTTTCTTCCTTAACCCTTGATTAGTACGTCACTTTGTTGTTTATTGTCGAATCAATTTCTAATGCAATCTCTCCTAGCCTCCTATAGACATATATTTTTCATATAACTAATAATATTATCAACTTTTTGCCGGAGAACGCGCACGCTATGTTCGCATGCATGATTTGTGATTTACAGTGTAGTGCTAGGCAAGCCCACATAGTTTATTCTAGCCTCTGGATAGACCGATTTATTCATTCTGCTTGAATCACATTTTGACTATGTCAGTTATTCGTTCATTAATTTTGACTGTATTTATATATGTGTGTGCACCTTATCCTACTCATCACATACTTGTAGCTTATTTTTGAGTGACTATTGAAGGATGCAACGGATGTTCCAGTTTTACAACTAGCTACCAGTAGCACCTTCTATGTTCGATCGTTCCCAGTCAGATAGAAATCAGAAGTCAGACGAGAAGAGGCAGGAAAGATATATTTGATTGGTTACCAATATATCGAGGACCTTTTCTATAAGCTGGCTAATGAAACGTAGGAGCTGTGTCCCACGCCGTATTGAAACGTGATCTGGTGCGGATGCATGACCGAAAGCCTTCAGCTAAACAAGTCCACTTAAACAACGTGGTCAGCATCCAATGTCGAACACTTAATGAGCTATTGATTTTGGGGAATTATTTACAGCTACACTGAGAACAATCGAATTTAGAAGGTGCTACTGGTGGCTAGTTGTAAAATTAGAACATCCGTTGCATCATCATTGGTGAACCCGACGTGATCTGGTACACCAAGTCAATATACTGTGAGTCTGTTCCATTTTGGAATATTATTATTCATTGTTATTCTTTATTTGAATTTTATATATTGTGATATACTTTTTTTGCGAATTTTTTTTCTCGGATATATTTTAATTAAACATTTTTCGATATCTATATTACTATGACGGAACACTCTCCTAAGGTTCTTAAGTTTAAGTCTATTCCCCCTATTTCGATTCAGTTAACGCCATTTTGGCCCGACAATATCGATTCCTGGTTCTGCTATGCAGAAGCCGATTTTTGCATGCACGGAATCACCGACTCGCGCACACGTTTCCTCGCGGTAGTTAAGGCGTTACCGCGCGAGTTTAACAGGTACGTAACACCTAGTATGTTTACTAGTGATGTTTCTGAACCTTACGAACCGCTTAAGCTATCGATTTTAAAACGAGGAGACCTAACTGATCGACAACGGTTAGACCAACTCCTTAACAATATCGACTTGCAACATGGTTCTGCGACGGACATGTTGCTTAGAATGAGAGAAGTCATCGGCCAACGAACTTTCGATGATGGCCTATTCAAACAACTTTTCTTGTCTAAACTCCCTCAACAGGTGCAGGCAGTGCTTGTTTCATTTCAAAACAATGCCATAGATGAACTAGCTGCATCTGCCGATCGAATCTTGGAAATCACCAAATTTTCTAAGGCCGAGGTTTTTTCCATCAAAGAAAAACCCCAATCGACCTCGACTGACATGGCCGAACTATGTCACACGCTTACACGATATCTTAGAGTTCGCAATGACCGTAGTCGGTCAAAAACCCCGCGTAGAAACGCCTCACGTAAGCGATCTGGCTCTCGACCACGAGAGACAGACAATCCCGACTGGTGCTGGTATCATAACCAGTACGGTAAGTTTTCCAGAAACTGCAGAAAACCTTGCAATTATCCGACCCCAAAATCGAGTGACACGAAAAACAGTTCGGGAAACTTCCCAGCCGGCACGCGTTAACGGCAACCGTAGCCGGCGAACACAGCCGCCTCTTATATGTCACGGATGTGACTACGAAAGTTCGCTACCTCGTCGACACTGGCGCAGAAGTTAGCGTTCTTCCAGCAAATCTTGACGACAGACTTCGCGAGTCTGTTTTAAGTTTACAGGCGGCAAACGGAAAGCCGATCGCTACTTACGGTAAAAGGTACGTCTACCTTAACGTGGGTTTACGTAAACCCATGCACTGGATTTTCTTGGTTGCAGATGTCTCTATGCCAATCATTGGTATTGACCTGTTACAACACCACAATCTACTCATCGACACACGCGCACGAAGGTTAATAGACGGAAACACTAAGTTGTCCGTTTGCGTAACTCCTTGTTCTGGTTGCAGGTTATCCCCAGTCACGATTAAGCACGTCATAGACCCCTTGTACCAAGCAGTACTCGACAAATACCCCGGGATATACCAATCGCAATCGAAATTACCTTGTGTAACCAGCAATGTTACACATCACATCTCGACTACAGGACCACCTGTATTTTCGAAAGCCCGAAGACTCGCTCCCGAGAAGCTTAGGTTAGCTAAAAGCGAATTCAACCACATGATGGACCTAGGAATAATTCGACCATCGAATAGTCCATGGGCATCCCTATTGCACATGGTCCCTAAAAAAACAGCAATGATTGGCGGCCAACTGGTGATTATCGGCGCCTGAATGCTAAAACCATTCCCGATCGTTACCCGCTGCCTCATATTCACGATTTGACAGCTACCTTGAAAGGTACAACTGTCTTTTCGAAAATCGACTTGGTTAAAGCTTATAACCAAATCCCGATGGCAACTGACGACATTCCTAAAACCGCCATCATCACTCCCTTCGGTCTTTACGAATTTCTACGAATGCCTTTTGGTTTAAGAAACGCGGCTCAAACCTTCCAAAGGTTTATAGACGACGTCTTCTGAGGTCTCAACTTCGTACATGCGTATGTTGATGACTGTCTAATAGCAAGTCCGGACAAAGAATCGCATCTCAAGCATCTGGACATTGTTTTCGATCGACTCCAAAGGCATGGCATTACTGTCAACATACAGAAATGCCAAATCGGAACAAACTCCTTAGACTTCCTAGGACACACCATTGATGCCCAAGGCATCCGACCCCTTAGGAGCAAAGTGGCGGCCATTCTGGATTACCCAGAACCGACCACGATCAAGCACTTACGAACTTTTAACGGACTCGTAAGTTTCTATAGACGGTTCATACCTAAATGCGCATCCCTAATGAAACCGTTAACCGATCAGCTTCGTGGAAATGCGAAATCAATTAGTTTAGACGACATAGCCCGTAAAGCATTCTCCACAGTTAAGGAAGACATCGCTAAAGCAACCTTGCTTGCTCATCAGGACAGTCAAGCGCCCATTAGTATCGCCGTAGACGCATCCGACTCAGCAATCGGAGCAGTCTTACAACAATGGGTTAACAACTCGTGGCAACCTTTAGGATTTTTCTCGAGACGGTTGCTAGACGCGGAATCTAGGTACAGCACGTTCGGTAGGGAACTCCTAGCTATGTATTGTGCTGTACGGCATTTCCAACATTCCATCGAAGGAAAAGGATTCACACTTTTTGCCGATCACAAACCTCTTACCTTCTCTTTAAATTCATCTTCAGACAAGTACTCACCGCGAGAGTCTCGACAACTCGACTACATTTCGCAGTTTACTTCAGACATACAACATATTTCTGGAGCTAACAATGTAGTCGCAGACGCCTTGTCTCGAATTAGCTCCTTGAACAGTTTCCAAGGAATCGACCTTCTTAAACTCGCTCAGCTTCAAAAAGAAGACATTGATCTTCAGCATGAGTTATCCTCGACAACTCTAAAACTGAGTATTAGGCAGATGCGAACAGGTAAGGAAACCTTACTCTGTGACACATCTACAGGTAAGGATCGTTCAATTGTACCAAAACATTATCGCCGCAACGTCTTCAATACGTTGCACAATCTTTCTCATCCAGGTGCTCGTGCAACAATCAAACTTATAGCCGAACGCTTTTGTTGGCCTGGCATGAATAAAGACGTGAGGGAGTGGGCACGCTCCTGTGTAAGCTGCCAGAAATCTAAGGTGATCAGACACAACAAATGTCCCTTAGGCTCTTTCAAAACCCCTGACGCTCGTTTCGACCACGTCCATCTAGATTTGGTAGGACCCTTACCCGACTCAAACGGATACTCATATCTCCTAACATGCGTAGACCGTTTTGCTCGATGGCCAGAAGCAGTACCGATTAAGGACATTACTGCTGAAACCGTGGCCCGCGCTTTCGTCGAACGATGGGCAGCGAATTTCGGCTGCCCTTCCACAATCACTACAGACTACGTACGCCAATTCGAATCTGGACTTTTCCGTTGTCTCACCTCACTATTAGGAATCACGCGTTTCCGAACGACCGCCTACCACCCACAAGCAAACGGGTTGGTAGAACGTTTTCATCGACAACTAAAAGCTTCATTATCAGCTTCAAACGTTTCACAGCGGACAGACGCTCTTCCACTCGTCTTGCTAGGTATCCGCAATGCAGTGAAAGCTGACATTGGATACACGGCATCTCAACTCGTTTACGGAACGACACTCCGACTCCCAGGAGAATTCGTGGATCCTTCAGCTTCTTCATTGAACATGGATCTAAACTCTTACACGAGTAGGCTTACAAACGCTATGCGTTCAGTTAAACCTGCTCACACTCGACCTCAATCAACTGATGTTTTCGTTCAACCCGAATTACGACATAGTACACACGTCTTCGTTCGTCGAGACTCACATCGACGACCCCTCGAATCAGCATACGAAGGACCCTTCAAAGTTCTTCAACGCGAACCTAAGTACTATGTAGTTGATAAGAACGGTACGAAAGATAGCATCAGTATCGATCGACTCAAAGCTGCGTACCTAGAAGGAAACCCTAGCTACGTCGATTTTCCTTCGGTACAAGCAAACGACACAGCTACTACACTCGTAGTAACCTACACGACAACCGACACACAACTTGATACTTCGTCAACAACGATAGGTAAACCTAAAACAACGCGTTCTGGAAGACGAGTAAGATTTCCAGAACATCTTAACGAATATTGCACGTAGGACATAAGCTTTATCTTGAATTACCCTTTCAAAGTTTATTATAAATTTTTTTTAATATGCTCATTTTTTTATTTATGTAAAAAAACAACAAAAAAAAACATTTTTTTTGAGCGTATATATATATATATATTTATATATTGAAAAAAAAAAACCAAAAGAAAACCTTTTTTCCGATCGCTTTCACGCTGTTTGTAAGTGTATCAGTTTATTTTTTTCCGCTCATCTTGTGTCCTTACGCAAGTATGAGTGTATTTTTGACATGCACTCACACGTTTTATTTTTCCTCTTTTCCAGGACGGCTGGAAAAGAACGACGAAGTTTCGCAAGAAACCGAAATTTTCATTGTACTATATTTCTTTATTTGCTACGTTGTACATTTTGGTCCCATAGTTTAAGGAAAGACGACCAGACGCTGCTAAACGAAGCAAGTTATCAGAAGAGTGTTTACCAACGACAAATTCGTTGGGTTTAAACTTCTGGCTGGTCACGTCTTAGGGGCATCACTACCTCACTAGGGGGGGGGAGTGATCTGTAGCTGTAAATAATTCCCCAAAATCAATAGCTCATTAAGTGTTCGACATTGGATGCTGACCACGTTGTTTAAGTGGACTTGTTTAGCTGAAGGCTTTCGGTCATGCATCCGCACCAGATCACGTTTCAATACGGCGTGGGACACAGCTCCTACGTTTCATTAGCCAGCTTATAGAAAAGGTCCTCGATATATTGGTAACCAATCAAATATATCTTTCCTGCCTCTTCTCGTCTGACTTCTGATTTCTATCTGACTGAGAACAATCGAATTTAGAAGGTGCTACTGGTGGCTAGTTGTAAAATTAGAACATCCGTTGCATCATCAACAGCTACACTATAAATATTGATTAACGTTTGATTAGATCGATTTCGCTAACATACCTTCTCCAATCTAGTTCCCTCTTTCCACTTTTTTCGTCTCCTCGATTGCCTATCCAAGTCAGATGTTTGAGAAAGTTAATAAATAGTGATAAACTCCACAATTCATTAACTTATTATTGACTGAATGTTGTCACGAATCGCAATTCTAACTAGCTGTAAATCAGTAAATATGCCATAATAATTTTCCAGCCTTAAAATAATAGCTTTTCACAGTACTTAAGACTGTAAAAAGAATTAAGGCTTACTAGGCTTTCATTATTCTAAATTGATGCTGTATTCGCGAACTTGATCGAAATCTTCACATGCAACACTAAAAATGGAAGACAGCACATTTGATATGATTTTGAAAGATACTCTTTATGTTTTCGGGCATCGCTACACTACTAACTTATGCAAACACGATGAACCTATGCAAACTAACACACGCACTTCAAATATAAAATACCCGCCGTTGACGAGGCCGATCAAGGTCGTGGAGGCAAAATTGACCCGCACCCGTTTCGAGGCTATTTTGGGTTAGTGTCTTATTAAGCTGCGCAACTATGTTTATTTATTTATATCAGCTTGAAGTGTTTTAAGCGCGCGTTGAAGATTTCTGTTTTTTAGGAATGAGATTTCGTTGTCTAACTGAAATCCAATGCTTATAAATAGCCGGTTAATATGACTTTCGATACCGGCTTTAGCGTTAGTTTTACAATGGGATGTCTTTACCCACAACAGACAAAATTTCCACAAAAAGGGAGATTGGCTCTTTAAAACCATTCTTCGCAAGTAACTACACTTTTAGTAGTACCCCGACTTCTGCATGCTTTCTATAGTATCCGTTATATTCCTAGTGATAATGTAAGTTAGGTGTCATTTTTCCATCACTGCTCAGGTGGATGTGCAATCTCCCTATGTTTGAGAATTTTGGCGAAGTGCCGATGAAAACGTTAAGAAAATGTGGATTAAAACCTGAAAATCTTTCCTGGTATGATTAAAACAACAAGCTTTAAGGAAAACATCAAATTTTCATCAATCTTTGTAAGGCGGATACATTGAAATATAGGTTGTAGCTTGGTTTACAAATTACCCACCGTCTACCACACAAAACATTTGCGAATACCAGATCATTTCATTTGTGAATTGGTTTTACTAGCCTTAAGATAAGGATATGAGGCTGACTCTTTTTAGGGCATACGGTTGTCAGTCTCCGAATCTCCATTTCGGTTTTAGGGACTGGGTCGTATCCTTAACCCTCACATTTTGTGTAACTCGTAAATAGATGTACGGGTCTGTACCTGGTAGATCGGTTATTCAAACTCAGAGACTAATACTTGGGTGTCATCAATGTTTCGCACCAAAATCCAAGAATCCCTATCTGAGATTTGATTAGTCCGTCCACAAATCGTAACTTCTAGTCTGATCCGTGTTCGTAGATGCAGACGGCGAGACTAAACTATATGGACGAGCCAATCCGAAGCTTTCGCGGGTTTTCAAGGTCAAAGCGCTAAGTTCGGTACCTGATGCTTACGTACGGACAGTGTACAACGGATTTCAGAAAACACGTGATAATTCAGCGTCTACAAGAGGAGTGGTCATAAGATTTTGGCGCGAAATTCAATTATCCATTTGTATAAATAGAGTTTTGGCATTATAGCTGATGTCAGTTCGTTATGAAAACCCTAAGTATAATTCCTAACCTCAACCATGAGCTGTAAATCATAATTTGAATTCTTCACAAAGGTTTATAACCCTCATTTAATCTTAGTTATTATGTTGACACTCTCAGAGTCACTCTAGCGTAGCTCAAAGATCGTCCATAATTTATTGTCTCATCCTTAACCCTAAACCATACCAACAACATTGAAGCTATGTGGTAGAGGCTAAAAGAATTTTTGAGACCTTGTTATGGTTCCAGAAGTCGACTACTATGGAGCCGCATGGATGAGTTCCTGTCCGGATGCACTATGATTTTAAAACTTCTGAACCTATATCTAACCTTGATAAGTTTTTGAGTCATGTAAAAGAACAGTATCCCCTTTAATTTTTGAGTTTTGTATAATATATTCTTACTGTATACTAACTGTCTTCTAATTGTCTAATATTTCTCAAGGTCATTTAATATTCGTTCAAAGGTCGTCCATATAGTTTAGTCTCGCCGTAACTGCCTCTATGAATTTGTCGTTCATTTCCTCCTGCTAATGAGGTGTGACAACTTGGACTGTTACATATATGTGCCTGGTTCTGCGTTGTAGCTGACTGACTGAAATTACAACCCCTCCAACATGCTCCGCTATTTTAGTCACTATGGCCAGATTAATGCATTGATGAGCGCAAGCAAGATCTCAAACCTTCGTGCCCTGTCATTTAGTATTCACTGGTTGGTCTTACTAAGTGCCCCCACTAAACTGTCGTATACTATCCAGTTAGTTGAATTTAAGTGGACTCATGGTACATCAGCTTCTAAAATGTCAAACGGAGAGTCCTTCACCATGTGAGGTATACACACACCAACAATAAATAATACGGCCAACCTGGTTGAACAATAAACCTTATCAATTCAGACAATAATTTGACGAAAGCCGAAGATCGACCTGTAGTGTCTTAGTTGAAATCCTCTATAGGGTGTACTTTGGTATTCCTTTAGATATATTTTAGTACCATAAAGCCTATCGATTGATGGATCAACACACAGCAATTAATGTATTGCTATGGAACCAGCTTGCTTGATCGTTTGTATATAGTTTCAAACTACTCTAAGAGTTCACAACTAAGGAAATACTTCCTAGGAGTAATTGTTTCATGACCTCATGTTTGTATCATCTTACTGCCGGTACGGTTCAGCCAATTTGCTTAAAACATTTTTATTACTTAGTCTGACTGGTTCAGTTTTAATGTGAGTGTGAACCTGTAAACCTAATAGACTACTTGTCTAGATTGTAAAACAAGTATTAACTCGATAAATTATAATAATATTGTCGCCAAATCGAGTTGATGTTTACTATTGTTTTTCATCTTAGCCTTATGCACTGCACAGTCTTATTGACTTGGAATGGTTGACAGCAGCATTTTCGATGAAATACCTGAAGAAATAAGCGCTCAGTTAGTTTCTTTTTCAGAAGCTACTGATGATGTTGAACAGCTTGTAAACAAAATTAGCAACTTTTCCAATGATTCTAATACTGAGGTAATGCTATTGAAATTCATTGACAAAACGTCTTAGGTTAGTGATTTGGATGCCATCAAAACTGATCTGTCGTTATGCTACGCCTTCAATGCTTTGTTTTTCAGTATGTTAGGAATTCCTTTTTTCGTAATTCTCTTCAGTGTATCTTAGGTGCAACGGTGTAGAAACTCAAAGTCATCCTATTATGCAGGAATTGGTAAGATCGTTATTTTATTTTTATTTATTTATTTATTTAAACACATATATATTGGTACAAAAGGGCACCAGGTACATATGCGCCACACAAAATAATGAAAGTAGGAAGAGAAGGGATGAAAAGATAAGGCGGACTATAATGTACAACCAGAAGACTCTTTCAAATAGGAAAGTAAGAACCATACTTTATGTAGAAAGTAAAAGAAGGTTGCAGCAGGATCGCCACTGGCTTCGATTCTGAGCCATATCTGATAACGTCTCTAGCCACTGTGTTGCACCATCTCTCGGACCCCAACCAAGGAGTCGTGAAGGACCAACAGAAGCTAGCCCTTTACAGCTTTCTTTCATGCCACGATACCATGTCATACACTGACCTCCTCTCCGCTTTTTCCAACCAGTCCCAGAGTCGGCAAATAATGCACGACGTGGAAGTCTCTGGGACGACATTCGTAAAATATGTCCAAGCCACCGAAGTCGGTGTTTCAAGATGGTGACACCAATTGAATTATCGTCTCTGCGCCCGAACACACGATGCCGAACCTCTGCATTACTAACATGGTGTTGCCACTGGATGTCAGCAATCCTTCGGAGACAACGATGATCGAACACAGAGAGACGTCTAACATCCTCAACTCGGAGAGGCCAGGTTTCACAAGCATAGAGCAAAACTGCTCTCACCGACGCGTTGTAGATCCGACCTTTTACAGCCAGACTAACATCATGAAGGCGCCAAAGATGGCCCAGATTGGCATAAGCCGCTCTGGCTTTCATTATACGTGCATCAATCTCATCACTCACGCCACCACCAGCACTTATATAGCTACCTAGATACACGAACTTCTCAACTACTTCAATCTGCTCACCATTCAGGGTGAGTACAGGATTAGAATCCTGCCAGTCTTGTAGGAGTACTTTGCACTTGGAGGGTGCAAAGCACATGCCGTACCTGCGGACACTGATTGCCAACTGATTAAGTGCTGATTGCATGCCTTGGGCATTATCGCACAGTAAGACAATATCATCCGCATACTCGAGGTCGAGAAGCCGCAAGCGGCTTCACTCGCCATTTTCATGGCGTCGTGAAGAAGCAACCAATGCTCATCTATACTTTTCGGTGGGATGGTAGCTAGCCTAGAAGCTAGCTCCGCCCGATACTTACTTGCAACAGAAGTTGCAGCCAGTTTACTAACATCGATCCGTTGATGGCGGTCAATCCTTCGGCCACTGAAAAGTAAGGTGAGATTGGCGCAGACCAGGGCATGATCAGACTCCAGATAAGTACTCCAAAAGGAGCGGCAGTCTTGTACGCAACCACGCCAGCGGTAGCTGATCGCGATGTGATCAATCTGAGTCCAGGCTTGAGAGTCAGAGGGAGGACGCCAGGTGGCACACCGGCGATGACTGTGCCGGAAGTTAGTGCTAGCCAGAAACAGGTTGTGGTCTGTGCACAGTTGCCGCAGCAAACGGTCCCCGTTATCTGTCCTGCGACCAACAAGTCCTCATCGACCACCTAAACGACTCTACTATGCCTAGACGCCCGACCTGAGCATTCAAGTCTCCGGCTAATACTACAATATCTGTCGAACGCGCTTTGTGGAGAACTGTTAACTGGTGGTAAAACTCATCCTTGATTGCATCCGGGCTGCAATCTGTCGGGGCATAGGCAGAGATGACGAAAAGACACCGTTTCTCACACCGGTTTCTTCTCACTTTGATGGAACTTTCTAATCTAACACCACATAACCGACTGTTAATGGGGATCCAATCGATTAGTGCTTTCTCAGCCCTAGCGCTTAGTGCAACGCCTGCAAGACCAGACGAAGATGCCACAGAGTCCCCGGATAAGCGCACGTGAAACAAGCTTTTCAAAGTGACAGATGGAGAGCGAATTTGTGGTACTTCACTAGAGTCTTGAATACGGGTCTCGGATAGACAACAAACATCAACATTAAGACTTTCTAAAGACATAGCCAGCCCCATCTGTTGTCCGATCTGCATTAGTGTGCGAACGTTGAAGGAAGCCAGCTTGAACGGCGTACGTGGTTTCAGAAAGACTGCTTCAGTATTCGTAATCGGTGGAAGCATTCACTTTCAACCAGACAGTGACTGGAGATCGTTTAGATAGGACAGATTTTCCACCATGGGCGAGCTACTGCATAAGTTGGAAAGGAAGGATACACAATTTGGAAATAAAGGGAGTGAAAAAGCGACGTAGTAAATAATAATAATAATAATAATAATAATAATAATAATAATAATGCAAATTGAGGAGATACAGTACCATGGTAGCCAGTGACCAACAACAGATTCATTCGCCATTTGTTCCATCAGGATACTGGAGCCCATGTGCACCGTTGGTTTGGATTCAGGGTTTTACAACTCCCCTAGGTGGACCCTTCGTGTCCACCAACCCGGTTAGAGCGCCGGACATTCGCTTTTCGTCCTCTCACTTTCGTAAACAACACCCTGCCACGAGAAGGCCGTGGGTAGGACTTCCCTGGCAGAGGCCATATATTCGCTGGCCATGTGAGAGCATTTCGAGAGGGAGAGTGGACTCTCCCCACTCTCGGCCGTACCAGGGCATTTGGGGGCAATTATATTTATTCTTTCATGATAATCGACAGTATTGCTACAGTGTTTTTCGCCAGTAAATACTTCCAATTTGTCATTTTAAATGAGAGACCTGTACATATGTTATAATTCGGGTGCTGTACAAATTAATGTGTGTTGAATTCTTCATCCTAAATTAAGTCAAACAACTAACAACACGATTTCTACTGACTGTTACAAACGTTCTATTTTTATAAAAGACATTCACTGTTATGTTGTAATAGCAACATTGGTCTTCGGGTTGCTCTTTGACTGAGGACGCTCATTCAGTCAGCTACAACGTAGGACCATGCACAAATATGCATCGGTCCAATTTGCCACACCTCATCAGGACAACAAGATGAGCACCGAACTCTTAGTAGTTAATTTAGTGGTAGTAATATATAAAAGAAAGGTTGTATATAAGGATATGGTACAGGAAGAAAGACAGATATGGCGCAATTTTAGTCTCAAGGTTTAAGGGAAGACAAATAGTGTATACACCTACGCCATTGTGATCGATTCTGAGCTATGTCACACAGAGTCTCCAACCATTGGTTACAATAGTCGCGCGGACCCCAATCCAATAGTCTTCATCTATCAACATGGCTAAGACTAGAAGTTAGTGACTTCAAGTACTGATGCCATGTTTTGGTTTGGCCGCCCCTAACTCTTCCGACCATCCCCAATACTAGTCAGCATTGCGCGTCGTAGTAATTGGTGTTCAGGCATACGTAACACGTGGCCTAACCATCTCAGTCGATGAAGATTCACAACCTCATAAACTGACTTACCATCATTCCCTAATACCCTGCGTCTAACCTCACTATTACTTACCCGGTTATCCCAGCAGATGTGAGCGATATTTCTAAGACGTCTATGGTCATATACTAGTAACTTACGAGTATTTTCTACTCTTAATGACCATGTTTCACAGACGTAAAGTAGAACAGAGCGAACTGCTGCGCAGTATACTCGTCCCTTAATTGATAGACGGATATCTCGTCTTCTCCATAGGTGACGTAAGTTGGCAAAAACCAAACGAACTTTTTCAATCCGTTCTGAATTCGTCAGACACCAACCCATTAAGGCTGATCAGACTTCCAATATAAGTGAAGTTGTCGACGCGTTCGACTACTTCACTCCTTATCCTTAGTTCAGGTGTTGACGCAGGCCAGTCCTGGAGTAACAATTTATATTTAGAGGGGGAGAAGCGTATCTCAAATATCCTGGCATTGTTACTCAGTTCTAACAGAAGACTGCATTTTATCAACGTTTTCACCAAACAGGACTATGTCGTCTACGTATTCTAAGTCGACCTCCTGGTAGGAAATCAATTCCTGAAAATTCAGTCAACGAGAACGTTTTTTACCAGTAGTAGGTCTATAATGGAATTAAACAAAAATGGGGATAGTGGACAGCCTTGCCGGACACCACTTGAGGTTGTAAAATCTGATGACAGTTCGCTATAAGCTTTCACTCGACTGGTAGTGTTCGAGTAAAGAGCCTTCACAAGGTTTATGTACTCCTGAGGTACACCTTTCAATGAAAGGCACTGCCACAGAACATCTTGATCCACAGAGTCAAATGCTGCTTTTAAGTCAAGAAAAACTATCATTGTCGGACGCTGATAAGCATGCCCGTGTTTAAAATCTGACGAATAGTGAATATGTGGTCGATGCAGTCACAACCAGGTCTGAAGCCAACCTGATTTTCTCATATTTGCAGCTTATGAGTCTTTGTTAGATACCCGACAATTATTGAGGCTAGTATTTTAGATGCTATATTAATCAAACTAATCCGTCTTTGGTTATCATAGGATGATTTTGACCCCTTCTTATATATTGGGACAATAAGTGATTGTGACCAGTCGGATGGGATTACGTCCAACTCCCAGATTTTAGCTAAAATATTAGTCAACCTAATCGTTAAATTTGGACCACCATATTTAAAGACCTCTGGAGCCAATCCATCTGAACCAGCTGCTCCCCCCTCGTTTCAGATTAGCTATAGCCCTTTGAACGTAAGCTAGAGTCGGGGGACCTACTTCAATGTTCCATTCAGACTGTTTGGGAATGGTGGGTGACTGTAGAGTAGCTGAAGGTCAGCTAAACTGTTTTTTTAAGTGTTCCACCCATCTTTCTGAACGTCTGGCCTGAGAGCAGATGCGAGTCTCATCTTTTTCCGAGATTGTCTCGCTTACAATTTCCTTCTGAGTTCCGGTTTCTTTTATTAGTCTGAAGAGTTGTCTGGTGTTGCCTACAGCCATTGTCTTTTCCATCTCTTTTGCTTTCGTTGACCACCACTGCTCACGATCGTTCTGTAGACTTTTGGTTAACCTAGATCGGATTCGCTTTCGCTCTTCATCGTGTTCAGAGCCTGATGGGATGAGCTTACGCGAATCCATCAATGAAATAGACTTAGAAGAAATCCGTTGGGTTTTTTATAACCCTTTGGTTTAAATTACTAATAGATGTTACTGCCGTTTCCACAGCTGTTTGTATATCTTTCCAAGCAGCATCTAGGTCAGTCTCGTCTACAGAACTGTCTAAATGTGAACTCAGTTGTTCCTGGAACTTATTTTTGACTTTCTGGTCCTCCAGTTCAATCCTATTGGGTCTTAGTGTAGTTTTTCTGCTTCCAGCGAGTCGCAAACAAATGCGTGCTCGTATTAAAGCGCGATCATAATCTAAACGTGTATTCCAGTACGAGGACAATGTTCTATCGAGCCTCTTCAACGATGACTGATGGCAATATGGTCTATTTGAGTCCATCTTTGGTTTGGTTCAGGTGGTCGCCATGTTAGACGATGTCGCTCCTTATGCTTGAAATTAGTGCTTTCTAAAAATAAACGATTGTCTGAGCATAGTTGCAACAGACGGCCATTATCTGTTAGCTGAGCAGGAATACTAAATATCTTTCTGTTTGATTTAAGCTGCCTAACTGGGCATTAAAGTCACCCGCTACGAGTACTATGTCCGAACGCTTAGCTTTCTGAAGAAGTTCATAGAGCTTTCTGTAAAAGTCATTCTTCATTTCGTCCGGGCTGCAGTCAGTCCCTATCCTTCCGAGTTTTTACGGAGCCATTTAGCCGGACAGCACATAGACGACTGTTAACAGGGATCCATTCAATAGTGCTTGTTCTGCCCTTGTACTAAGTGCTATGCCTACACCTGAAAGTCCACCAGAACTAGTCATGGGGTCGCCAGACACACAGAGGGTGTATTTCGTCGGCTCTCCGTTTTGGTGAGGTGAGGTCAAGTGAATGACCACACTAGGATCCTGTATGCGTGTTTCGGAAACACAGCATACATCAATTGTCAAAGATTCTAGGGTCTTAGCCAAGGAGGCCTGTTGACCGATTTGACTTAGGTTTCGTACATTGAAGGCTCCAATGTGTAGTTTGGAGTGAGGTTTCAGAAGATCTGGGACAGTGCTTCGCACACTAGAATCGTTGACCATGGTGACATTTGGAGAGGAAGCCGAAAGAGGAAGTTTAGTGTTGAAAATCGAGGTGGGAGTAATAATAGGAATTGAAGAAGGAGATTGATTATGAATACAGTAATCTTGAGTGCTGTTAGAGGTATGAGGGCAGTTATCATTTCCCGGTTGCCCACGGTGGAAGGGTATTTCTTGAGGGAGCTGAAAAGGAAGTTGGATTAGAAGTAGTCTTAGCGACCTGAGAGCGTGACCACAGTGCCCAAGGGACAACTGCATGAGATCGGTCACACATGACCTTTTTATGTTAGATTCATGCTTGTTGGGACCTTACCGCCGGAGACGGATATCCGTGGGATAAGGCGAGATGTGCATTTTTAGGTTCGACATTTTCTAACCCCATCCCTCCTTGTGAAAGACAGCATCGCTATTATGCTGATTGTCTGAAGGAAACACCTTTCTGCCGTCACACCTCTGTACAGTCAGCGGTATGACTTCGCCTTCGGACCTTGGGTTTGCTGCTTTTAGTCTCACCGCTCTTCAACCGACCTATCTGGCATGGTAGGACCTTGAGGAATGATTGTTCCAGCCAGTATAGCTCGATTGGTTCATCACGATAGGCAAGTCTGACCATCACGTCAAGGTAGTAGCAACGGTCGGGAGTAATAATAGAAAAACGTGTCCTATCCATAATATATCTCCCGTCATATTATAGACGTTTTTGTAACAGACTTTACATGCAACAAAAAGCACTTATTAACAACCCTCAACGATTTATCGCTTGCATACGATTAACTATCCACTACATTTAGGAAAATAAAAATATAGTCTGTTAACTAAGTTCTAACTTATGTACGAGGTTATAATCGATATCTCTTATTTTTAAGTCTTGAAACTGTACTAAACTTTTCGAAGTCGAAAGAGGAAGTTTAGTGTTGAAAATCGAGGTGGGAGGAATAATAGGAATTGAAAAAGGAGACTGATTATAAATACAGTGATCTTGAGTGCTGTTAGAGGTATGAGGGCAGTTATCACTTCCCGGTTGCCCACACGGTGGGAGGGTATTTTTTAAGTCTTGAAACTCTACTAAACTTTTCGAAATAAAATTGGATGAAATAATTCAGTTGGTCATAATTCACATGCTTCAGATGCACCTGTAATCAAATACTGTTTACCTACAAATTTCATGTTTCACAGTTATGACGTGAAACAAAGCGAACTACTGTGCGGTACACTCATTCCTTGGTTGGTAGTAGGACTTATTGTCTATACCATAAGCGATGGAACTTGACAAAAGCCAAGGAAGTTTTCTAAATCCTTAGTGAGGTCTTGTGAGACTTCCAAGATAAGGAGAGTGATCAAAGCTCTAAATAACTGTGAACCTGTGATTCATTGTTTGTAAACAGACGACATTCTGAATAACTAGTCTACAAATATCTATTGACAAATAAACTGAAAACGTTACTTACCTAGCAATATAGTTTTATGGGCTGACGTTTTTTTTAATACGTTGCACTCATTTAACGAACTATTTGTCTGTAATTTTGTGTTGCTTATTTGTTTCTTTTTATTTTTTGCAAAGGATCGTGTAATGAATGCGTTGAAAAGGTGTAGATCGCTAGTAGAAAAAGAAGGCTCTGCACGTTTGAAACTGGACAAAGAAGCTACAACAAGATTTGTAAAACATGCCTTATGGAAATCTGCTCATACCAAAACTAAGAAACGTCGCATGGATTCATCTACTTAGTATTGTTAATGATAATTCTTAAGTGGGAAGACCTTTATTTTGTTTCGTTTTGTATGTATACAAACGAATTAGCAATCAAATGTAAATTTATACTTTTCCAGATGTTTTTTTCTGATTTGAATAAATTTATTGTACAAATGGTGTGATCAGTACTTGCAATATATCAATCATCTCACCTTTTGTTTATGGGTTAGGAGTATAGCCTAACTGTAGGTAAGTGGTTTTGGTCCTGCAACCTAATAATTTAAGGTTAGGTTTTTGAATTGATAAAATACAACTAATTTTAGTTGAATTTTTAAGTGAACAGGTCATATCAATTCATAACTTTGTTTACAAATATCAAGATCAAACTAGACGAAGTCTATCGTATTCATTATAAATATTTTACTCATATCTTCTTAACCATGTGACTACTAAAGTTTTTAAACAGGAAGCAACATTTATGTGCTGGCTAGGTAGAAAGCATTTATAAGCAGTGCTCATGGGAGACTGAATGGTGAGTGTTTTGTCGCATATCTTTAGCTAGTTATATTAGTATCTTAAAAATTATGAACCACTGTTGGACATTAATTACTATTGGTTCTGAGGATTTATTCACTTGATTTAGAGATGTCTGCGTGCTGAAGTGATGTTTTAGTGGGGCTCTTCATTTTGACGTTAATTAGATTAGACGATGTTGTCGACGAGCTCATCACTTTAGTGACCCGAGATCTGACTCTGGTTGAATCGTACCAATGTTATTGAAATATACACATCGTCAATCCTCGTATAAAATTATCGACCTAACTTGCGTCATTGAATAATGGAATTAAGTAAGTCAAATATGAGAATGGATTTAGAATACGTATATTTTGTACAATCGTTGATCGGAACAGATAAACAGAGAGACGTAGCGAAGAAGAGAGGGCGAAGCGAGACGATGCGCAGTGGAGTTGTGTGAGCCAACTCTATTTAAGCAAGCGTTAATCGATATTTATAGCCAAACCAAAATAAGTTACAGACAAGTGATGAGTAAGATCGAAAATGGAAACACATACTCTCATATAAAAACAGTTAAGATTAATAGGCGATAAGTTGATAAGGTCAAAACGTGACTCAAAAAAATGGGTAAACTGGCCTGTCAGAAACTAGAATAAGTTATATGGGCTTAACATTGTAACCGACACTACAATGTATGCATTTATTCAACACGATGAAATGTAAGTACAAAGTACAGTAAAGTAGAAATGCTGAAAGTAGTACAGTGCATAGTATAAAAACGTAAATGAGAATTTTAAAGCAATTAGTCCCTTTGATAAATTTAGATAATGCAATGAGAAGACGAAGATTATCAGAACTATGTGATATATTAGCGCAATACATTTCGAACAATCTGATCACATAAATGTTCTTAACAAGTATATGTGTGATCAGATTGTTCGAAATGTATTGCGCTAATATATCACATAGTTCTGATAATCTTCGTAAATGAGAATAATGGACGCAACTAGTAAGGGGTGAAAAACGTCTTCAAATTTTGGTTTGCGCGCCCTTCTTGTATTATGGCTAGAAACAACGGTTTGAAGGGTCTAACAACAGTAGTCTTACGGGAAGCAAGTTAGATATTTGTGGTTAACGAAGTGTTTGAAGAGAGGTAGAGTACTTTTAGCGACCAAAGTATTTATTTATGAATGAAATAAAACACAATCAATGGGTTGATCTCTATATTTAATCGGAGAATTGGCAAAACATTTTCGTCAATAAATCAAATTTTAATTAAGTACAGAGATGAATACATAAATTGTGCAGAAATACAAAAGCAAAAAGGAGCCTAGGAAAAGTGGAGGCTAGAATTCCTTTTTTGTGTGGGATATGTCGGTAGCTAAGTATGCAGAGGGATAGTACAAACTTATTCTGTAGTCAAATGGTTGGTTTGTGGGTGAATTCTGATAGCTTAGACAGTATAGAAATGACGAACACGTAAAGCCATGTAGTTTATAGTAAGTAAAGTGAAAATCTTGATTCATTTACACCTGATTTCATATATCAATCAAGTCAGAATGATTGGAGCTCACAATCATCCTTTACTATCATTTGCTCAACTATGCCTCATGGTGACCGAAGATACAATAACAGGCTTGCCTAACTTTATTTCTCGTGTAACTGACCCTACAGCTATTTTTCTCTACGTTGCATCTCTTTCACACAAACAACACTACCTTTGAATTGTAGTCTTGAGATTAGTTACTTTGGAACAGTCGCCGTCGTCATGTGTTTGTCGAATATCGGTTTCCACGACGTAGGTTTTTGAAAATTTAATTTGAAGAGACCTTAAAGTTATTTTTTTGAAAATTATGGGGTCTTTATAACTAATTATTAAGTTATCATGCTTCCCAAATGTATAGAAAATATAAAATATTTTCGGATTAATATGGATCCTCAAATAATTGCTGGTGATTATATTACTTGGTAATAGCGAGTAGTGTAATTTATGTTCTTATATTTGTGACCATATTTAAACCTTCGAATATAAACGCCATCTCGTAGCTCTATTAGTTTTTCCACTAAGTGCGATTTATCGATTACTGGAAGACCTTTTAGATGATACCCCGACTGATCAATCAGAAAAGTGAGTTGATGGAATGTTTTGGTAGTTGGTGCAGAACTTCCTTATTAATAAGTGGAAAACATTTATTAATACATAAGACAAAATAGAGTGGTGGCGAGATCTCTTCTTGAACGTTTTATTCTTAAAAACTTTGAGGCTAGTATTATTTGGTTTATTTATGAATATCAGTAATCCCAATGATAGGCTCTCGCATCCGGGCAACTCGATATGTTTATCAGTGTACCTGCTTCTTTGGAGCTATACCGGTCGTTCGAATCGCGTTTAGTGTACTTCAAAATTGGTATCGGTAAATTCATGGAAAATGCTATAAGGGAGTGTATCATAAATAACGAATAAACTGAGCGTTGGTTAGAATTATAGCAACTATCCTACAATCAATTTTGAGTATGGTCAATTTTGGTTAAGCCTTTTTACTAACTTACTTAACAGACATCATTTGGGTAATAACAATTTGCATATTCTTTGTACTGTTAGGACCACTAGAGTACATGACACTAGCCGAAATGATCGCTTCAATATCATTTGATGACTCATACTCTTCCCCCTATTTGTATGCACGCAAATCCTATTATCAGCCTTCGTTTTGTTTTGCTTTGCCCTTATTCAATTTGACTAAAAATTACCTATGTAATTGCTTGCTCGCTTACTGACTGCTCAATGCTCGCTGATATTAGCTCATGTGCTTGTAACCTTCTGGCCTTAGTCATTTTCCAATAAATTGTAGTTGCCGCTTCTCATTGCCTTCTGATTTTATGCACCGTTAAGATGGGTATTATAACGGTTATCGAGGTGATCGATTAACGAAGCACGGCACTACGGATTGTTATTAATAAAATTAATTTATTTGTAATATCACGATGAGTAGAGAAACTAAGTTTTCATATTTTCCATCTTTTTGTGACTTAGTGTAAGCCACTTCTATTTTTATTCTTTAAAAAATGACTTACATTGAGACAAAACTTCAGAAAATTTAAAAACTCAGTTTTTCTACTCATCGGGATCTTACAAATATATTATTTTTATTCATAACAATCTACCCAATGCTTAACTTATTCAAAAATAACTATTAATGTTTGTTTAACATATACAGCACTGCTGGTTATCTTATCAATCTCCACAAAATTCTGTTTCCATAGTGTAGGTCACCACCATAAAAAACTGAAAGCCCTTGACGGGCGTTTTGTCTTATTATGGGACTTTTCAGAAGTGCGCACCCATGACTCCGCATCGCGGATTCGAAGCTAGACATTAACACTGTTGGATGCAGGCTCTGCAGTCAATAAACTAGGCGTTCACATGTGAGACCGGAAGTTCTGAGCTCGACTCAGTGCAGGGTCTTGACTGAGTATCCATGAGCAGTCCCATACTAAGAGGAAGCGGCCGTGAAGTGTTTTTAGGTTTCTAATGGTGGTCTAGCCAAGATTAGTTCATAATTTAGATTGAAAAATCTACAATCTCCACAACTCCTGTTTTTCAGTTTCGTAATAAGAATAATACTTTTCACACCTCAGTTCATTTTTTTACCACCGTAATCGATAAATTATTGTCATCATTAACAAACATTATAGGTTGTCATGGTAAGTTGTGTATAGATTTGGGCTTGTACAGATTAAAGAATGAAACAAATGAAAGGTCTCTTCGAAGAACCAATCTGTTTCTTAAACAGTAATTTAATTGAAATTCGCATAAAGATCGTGACAAAATGTTTAGTAGTTGTATTTCCTAAATCTCTAAGAAATACAATAGGTATCAGTTGATCGTTTTTAAGGTTTCTCCTAGTTCGAATAAAATTATTTCTATATTGCACCAGAAGCAACCTAAAGGTAAACGGTACTAAAATATTGAAACCCAGATAATTTTTTTGTTATTACTTCTTCACAAATCTATGGTGAACTTTAAAATTCTATAAAATCATCACATTTTTCCCTGTTTTGTAAATCCTTCACCTTCTGTTATTTTGGTCCAAATTTCTACATATGTATTAAATGTGGGAGTTGTTTTCAGTTGACATCTTGATTTTCATGGAAATACCAAAGAATATAATGTATACATTTTACTCTGTTAATTCTAATAATTTAACAAGTAACAATAGGGAAGTTTACTTTATTTCTCATGGATAACAAATAACAGTCTATTTGGTTAATGTGAACAAGTTTCTAGTCTGTTGACAGTTCTCATAAGGTATTATATCAAGAAATTGTAATGGTTAAGAATTTGGTAGTGCTACCTAATTTTCAATCATTATTTTCTTTTTTCTCGGATGAGCAAGACTCATAAATAGGTTTGGAATTTTAGATACAATAAGCTGAACTTTTATTCTTCATTAAGTTGAACTATGAACTCACTAATTATACAAAACACATCAACTTAGTAACATGTGAGTGAGATAAATAATTTATTTAATATACTAGACTTTTCTTATGATACTATCAACTTCTTATATATGGAACTTAGCGAACTGCTCTTGTCTTGACTATAGAAACAATTTTAGATCATATGCAGCCGAGTGCGATAAACGATATTTATTAGT